GGCATGGGCATGAAAAAGGGGAGATGGTGGGCTCGTCGGAGGAGGAGTTCTATTCGCCGCGGTTGTCGTCGACGGAGAAGGGAAGCTCTGGAAGGCTGGCGGGCGAGCGGTTGTCGAGCTCCCGGCGGACGTATCCGGCGGCGGTAGAAAAATGTGGGTCTCGGAATTCGACGCTGAGCACGCCGTCGTACCCGTCGTCGATCGTGGCCTCGTCCCCTCCGTCATCGCCGGTGGCTTCATCGTGTCGCGCCGGATCCAGCCCCGGCCATTCGAGCGGCGGATCTTTGAAGTCCAGATCTGAAAGGAGTCGGGCGGGAAGTCTTGTATTCGCGTCTCCACCACCGCCTCCACCACCTCCCCCGCCGCCTCCCCTTCGGCCTCTAACACCGTCACCTCCTAAGCGGAAACCCCCGTCGCCTTCGCCACCTTCTTCCCCGGCGCAGAAAGAATCTGAAAGAAAGGTGGAAACTTCTGATCTGGCGGGACAAAGTCTGAGGCCGTCCATGACAGCTGGGCACTTCTCTGGCAATCCATTTGTTGTCAGCAAGCAGACAGGAATACCACAGAGACAGCCTCCGCCGCCACCGCCTCCACCCCCACCACCACCACCAGTTGGATACTGGGAGAGCCAGGTTCGAAAGCCACAGGGAAAACGCCTACCAGTTGGAGTGAAGACTTCCTCGGCGGTGGACTACACCACAGATCCGAGGGAGAATTCGGATGAAATGGAGAAGACGGAGGATACGCCTCGGCCAAAGTTGAAGCCTTTGCACTGGGATAAGGTTCAGGCGAGCTCAAACCGAGCAATGGTGTGGGATCAGTTGAAATCCAGCTCCTTCCAGTGAGATTCTGAACAGAGTTATTCCATGTTCCATCTTTTTCCTTTTCACTGAGTTGTAGAATTGATGAATCTGCAGGGTGAACGAGGAAATGATCGAGACTCTGTTTATTTCCAAGGCAACAAATGCAAAACCTAAGGAGACCACCAAGTGGCAGGTCCTTCCATTGCCGACTCAAGAGAACAAGGTGCTCGATCCAAAGAAGTCGCAAAACATTGCTATTCTACTGAGGGCATTGAATGTGACCAAGGAGGAAGTCTGTGAAGCGCTACTGGAAGGTGAAACTATTTAACCTTAATTTAAATTTGGTCTCTACATTTGTTGTTCTTCAGCAGCGTATGACTTCTGATGCTAATATTCCCTTTATCTTTTCCTGAATTGGTCCTTACTGTGCAAGTATGATTGTCAGCATAAGTAGTATTCTATCAAGTTCTTGTTCCTCGTTAGTGTCTCGGCCAATGTTCTCAAGAACGATCCATTCAGATGTCATAGTGTTCACAACTGTACCATATTTGTATTGAGAAAGCATCACTTGTTGATGCCTGTGCATCCCTATTTCAGGAAAAGAACATAAATTTAATTAACTTTGATTTTGATTAGTTGCAGTAGATGTACATTAAGTATGCTGACAAAGCTGTCCACCATTTCTTAAAAGAGTGAATCAATTTCAGGAAAAGAACATAAATTTAGTTAACTTTGATTTTGATTAGTTGCAGTAGATGTACATTAAGTACGCTGACAAAGCTGTCCACCATTTCTTAAAAGAGTGAATCAGTGCCTTCTAAAAGAAAAACTACATTTACATTTTAAGTTTTTACATTGATGTAGCATGGATGTCTATTTTTTCTTGTTGTGGTCAATCATATCGACACTTTTAGTGTGTTGGCATTATCAGGCATACTAATTTCTTCAAAGTATCGGATGAAGTAACAGCTTTAAGCAGAAAGATCCATCTTTTGATGCTAAGATGATCTCACCCAAGCATATCTAAAGACTAATGAGACAAGAATCTCTGTGTAGAATCTATGACCAAAAGCTCATCCTAATCTGTGATCAAAGAAACTTTTTAGGATAACATCCTTTCATGTCAATAAGAGTGTCAGAATTAATCTGTGGAGCAAGTTTCACTATGTGCTGCAACTAATATAAATAACATCTCTGTGTTCTTAAGAGTAATAAATCATTTTCTATATGTAGATTTGGCTTGGGCTCAACCATGGTTCATCTTACCGATCTATACCAGTGTATCGACTGGCCATTGGTACGGTACATACCAAATCATACTAATATACTGACACATGATATGATGGAATATACTAATAAACTAGTATGTACTGCCTATACCAATCCCCTCTCGGACCAATACATACCGCTTATACTGCGTGGTATGCCATGATACAGCGAACCTTGGGCTCAACCATGCTTATGGAGATACCTTGGTTGCTGAATAGGTAGATACAGAGAGAGATGACAATTAGTTCAACATAAGATAAAGATGTTAAAACCTCCGGTTACAAGTAGTCTTATGATCGAACATAAAATTATGCATGTTTTCCAGTTCTAAAACATTGTTATCTGAGACACTTGGTGCATTTTATATCTGATGCACTCTTACTTTGGGTGAACTCAATGCAAGCAACTTGAAGATTTGAACCATCTGTGTTTCAACTTTGTTTCCTTTCATTTGGTCATCTAGCAAGAATAAGTGCATTTGTATCCTGATACAAAAGGTCAGAGAATTAACTTTGTCATTAGCATCTTCCTCGGAGTCTTTTTGACCCCATTAATTGGCAACAGCTCTCTATCAGAATTTCAGGGTGTTGTGTGTTGCTTGTTTGTTATCCCATGTTTTAACACCTTTTTCATCTTGTTTATATTCGTAATTGCTGAAAGCAGGTAATGCTGATAGCTTAGGAACTGAACTGCTGGAGACCTTACTAAAGATGGCTCCTAGCAAAGAAGAAGAGCATAAATTGAAAGAATACAAAGATGATTCCCCATTCAAGCTTGGCCCAGCGGAGAAGTTTCTTAAAGCATTGCTAGATGTACCATTTGCATTTAAAAGAGTTGACGCAATGCTTTACATTGCCAATTTCGATTCAGAGGTCAATTTTCTTAAGAAGTCCTTTGAAACTCTGGAGGTAAGCTACTAAAATCTCATGGTTGTTTCTAACCTCCAGTAAAGTAGCTGCTGCTAGATGTTCATATGATACAATTCGTTAACATGATTGATGAAACATGGGTTTAAATCTAAGAAAGCCATTATTCTGTATGACATATACTTCCAATAATAAAATCTTGAAACCTATATCTTTAAATGTCTTTAAGTCCAGGGGTTGCTTGGAAAAATATAACTGAAAATTCCATACAAATCTATGTAGTTTGCTTTGTAGAATAACTAGTAACAAAATATGGCCTGCTTGATTACTAACTAGATCAGTGTTTTGCAACTGAAATATGCATGACTTCCCAGCTTGTATCGCCATTTTGGTTTATTTTCAATGTAAACCGGCTTCCATTTACTTGGAGCTTGTTCTTCACTTCACTGTCTATTTCATCTGCCTGTAACAGAGGAAAGAACTCATTTCTGATCTTTCATTTAGTTTTGTCACACCTGCCATATTATAAATTCCATAAGCACTACATTATCATCGCTTTATAAGCTAACAGCTAAAACAAATATCATAGTTACTGATGCAGAATGTTAATTAACTTCTTGTGTTTTATATAATAAAGTCATCTTCTGGCCTTTTAACTAGATTTGCAATTAGCAGGCTGCCTGTGAAGAGCTGAGGAGCAGCAGGTTGTTCATCAAGCTTCTAGAGGCTGTCCTGAAGACTGGGAACCGAATGAATGTCGGTACAAATCGAGGCGATGCACATGCTTTCAAGCTTGACACGTTGCTTAAGCTAGTCGATGTCAAAGGCACTGATGGCAAGACTACACTTCTGCACTTTGTCGTCCAGGAGATTATTAGAGCAGAAGGTTCCCGTCTTTCTGCCACCAATAATTCGGCTGCCAAAACTCAAACCAACACTCTACAAGATGGCCTCGAGTGCAGAAAGCTTGGTCTCCGAGTCGTCGCCAGCTTAGGAGGTGAACTCAGCAATGTTAAGAAGGCAGCTGCAATGGATTCTGACATACTCAGCAGCTACGTCTCTAAGCTCGCTGGAGGGATCGAGAAGATCAACGAGGTGTTGAGATTGAATAAAGCATCTGACTCTAAGGACGACAGCCAGAGATTCCATGATGCCATGGACCGGTTTCTAACGAGGGCAGAGGATGACATTATAAAAGTGCAGGCTCAAGAGAGTGTGGCATTGTCTCTGGTGAAGGAGATAACCGAGTATTTCCATGGTAACTCCGCCAAGGAAGAAGCACATCCCTTCAGGATTTTCATGGTGGTCAGAGATTTTCTGGCCGTGCTTGATCGTGTCTGCAAGGAGGTCGGAAGGATAAACGAACGCACCATCATCAGTTTGGCACAGCAGTTTCCGGTGCCGGTGAACCCAACCCTACCACCTGTGTTCCCGAGGTTTCATGCATTGAGACCAGAAGGCTCTGATGAGGATGAGAGCTCATTGTCATCGTAGAGCGATCGACGCCTACAATTTCCACACTGGAGGTGGGAGTTATCAGCTGGAATTCCCCAAGAAATGAAATTAGTTCCAGATCATTCGATATATATTTTTTTGTATTAGTAGAATATTAATGTAATTGCCTTTTTTCTAACTGTTAATTTGCTCCTATATATACATACACAAAGAAAGTCTAGGTAGTGGAAACTAAGGTTAGCTTCCTCTCACTTGGTTCGGACAAATCTATGGGATAAAGGTACAGTTAAGAAATCACATTCTTTTGAGATTGGATGACCAGATCTCTATAATTATCAGATTTGGATGTCTGAAGGTGTGGTAGATTATGTTCTTTGAGCCAAAAGCCATTTTTTTTGGGACAAAAATTAATATTCTTTATTCTCGAATATTCCATATTTGTGACTGAGTTGAGAATCAAATCAACTGAGAATTCCATAAACGAACAGAGAACTACAGATGGGACGGAGATATTATTTCGGGAATGATCGAGTGATGATGAGATCAAATGTGAGGCTGTGGTATTAAAGCCAACGTAGACCACAATCTCCATCATGTTCCTATTACGGCAAAATATCCTTCGACGGCTAACGCATGGTCAGTATCTGTACTACAAGTTACGGGTGCAGCGGTGAGAAGAAGATGACGGAGAGCGAAACGAATCCAAAGGACTGATAGGTCATCCATGACGTCCTCATTGTTTGTATTTAGGCCGTGCACTGCAAGTCGCTCACACTGCGCCACCTCGTTAACGATGGCTACCTCAGACCTTATCCTCCTGCTTCCATACCCAAGCCAAGGCCACATCAACCCCATGCTCCAGTTCGGCAAGCGCTGCGCCGCTCACGGCGTCAGCGCCACCCTCGCCACCACCCGCTTCATCCTCAACACCACCCGGCCCCAGCCCGGCCCCGTCCACCTCGCTGCCATCTCCGACGGCTGCGACCGCGCCGGCTACGCCGAGGTCAGCTCCATCCCCGACTACCTAGACCGCCTCGAGCGGGTCGGCTCGGAGACCCTGGAAAGCCTGCTCCGCTCCGAGGCCGCCGCCGGCCGGCCGGTCCGCCTCCTGGTGTTCGACGCCTTCCTCCCCTGGGCGGGCGACGTCGGGCGGCGCCTTGGCCTCGCCACCGCCGCGTTCTTCACGCAGTCGTGCGCCGTCAACGCCCTCTACTTCCACGTCTGGGAGGGGCGGCTCCATGTGCCGGTGCAGGCGGCGGAGCTGGACCTGCCCGGTCTCCCGCGGCTGCGCCCCCGCGACCTGCCGTCCTTCTTGCCGGATCGGGACAGCATCTACCCCGCTTACCTGCAGCTGGTGCTGAACCAGTTCAAGAACCTGGAGAAGGCGGACGAGGTCCTCGTCAACACCTTCTACGAACTAGAACCTCAGGTACTCTCTCTCTCTCTCTCTCTCTCCTCCCTTTTGTTCTTTCTTGCTGAGATGTTGCACTCGATGTCGTCTTCGTCGGCCAAACATTTGTGCCATCACATCCAAGAATTAAACTTAATTAAAACAGACGAAACGTGAAATATAGAGTCCAAATCACTTTTCACCCGACCCATCCGCACAAGGGTCTAAAAAATATTTCACAAAATATTCAATCGTTAGTAAAATATTTTATGAAATATTTTACCCTTGTAATCATATATAAAAATATATCTTTAACGTAATGAGGAAAGTATTTTTTTGTTTTTATTACTCATCCGTATTCAAAGACTTAGGTTATTTAAGTTAGCGTTAAAGGAATCGGATTGAGAAATCTCTTATGATCTCGATCTTCATATAAGTAGCACGTGGAAAGTTTGACGTTTTCATCTTGGAGGTATTTCAAATAACTCTATGCAAATGGGTTTGGAGCACATCGGTTTGACCAAGAGCGTCAACGATATTTTTTCTTATCAAAAATAATAAATTACTAGTAAATTAAATAGATTGCATATAAATATAACCTTAATAATTAAATTTTGTAACTCTTATTTATGACCCTTTAAATAGATGAGTTTCATCATAAAAAAATTTTAAAAAAATGTAGAGACTTATTTACAAGAAATAAAAATTTTTGTTTACCTCTTATTTCATCCTTCAAACTTTCATCTCTAACTCTCTATTTTATTTTTTGTTTTCCTTATCAAAGTAATCTCAAACCAAGTCAAAGTGACTAATAGCATGCAACTTTAAGTGTCTAGCCTTATAAAAGATAATTATGAAATTTAGAGCATATTGATAAAAGTCTTGTTTGGATCACATGACATATGAGTTAATAGAGAGAAGTTACGAAGAGCCTCAAGATGATGTTATGTTTACGATGAGCTAAGAGTTTCCTCGGAAGAAAGATAAAAAACTCCTTTGCGACGACCTATTGCCTAATCGGTCAGTTGACTCCGCAACTCCGATATCCTTGGCACAATACTCGCTCTTCTTGGCCCGATGCCCGAGTCCACGGCCCGAAGCCTTCTGTCGATACGTTGACCGATCCACCGGTCCGACATACAATCTTCTGACATGTTCCTCCGGCACAACATGATTTTCCTATTTTAATTGTCTCATCCTGATCGAAGCATCCTGCATCACTCAAAACGCAAATTAAATCATAAACATATATCAAGTGGTTTTATCATCAAAATACGAGATTCAACTAAAAAAAAAAATAGAAAATTTTATATGAATTAATGTAAACAACTAGAGCTTAATAAATTTAAAAAATATCTTGATTTCATAAATAAATAAATATATATATAAAAGAAATTCTCAAAAAATTTAGGATGAAAGATTGTAAACCAATTGGTATATCAATTGAATATGACATCAAACTTTCAAAACAAGATGATGCCTTGTTGGTGATATGATTGATTCAACTTATTTCAAAAACTTAGTAGGAAGCTTAAGATACCTAACTCGCATTGAGATTGAATATTTTATATAAAACTGGATTAGTAAGGATTTATAGATGAACCAAAGTTGACGCACATGAAAACCATTAAAAAAATTTTATGCTAGTATCATAACTCATAGTCTACTATATTTGTTTTCTAATGATTTTTGGCTTATTGATTATTTCGATAATGATTCTGATAGAGTTCTAAAAGATCGAAAAAGTATAATTAATTTTATTTTTTACATGGGCGACATTATTTTCATTTGATATTTGAAGAAATAATCCATTATGACGTTATCTATAATGGAATCATCATGTATGACTAAGAAAGCAAAACAATTTGATATTTGAAGAAATAATCCATAATGACGTTATCTATAATGGAATCATCATGTGTATGTCATCTTATATGACTAAGAAAGCTCTTGAACAAAATTAATTATTGGTAAGATCAAATCAAGAAGAAGAAAGTTTTATTGGACTATATCAAATCCGATGATAAGTTATAGACATTTTTACCTGAAATGTGTAAAAAAAAATAAATTAAGTTTAAGGGGAGTGTTAAGAGAATTAAACTTAATTAAAAGAAAGGAATTAAATCTCTTTCATGATCACATGGGAAAAACTATTATAATCTTTAGAATATATTAAGAATGAAAAAATTATACCATGCTAAAAATTAGATATGTTACATATATTAAGAATATATGAATATAATCATAACATTTAACTTTTGCAACTCTGATATATGACCATATAAATATATGAGTTTTATCAAGAGAAAAAAAAAAAATTAAATATCTCTCTTGTTTCTTCCCTTAATTTTTTTTTCCCTCTCTATCACCACCACCAATATGGTAATATGGTGAGGAAGAAAGCACTCCATGGATCTTTGAAGATCTAAAATGTACTGCTGATGATCTCACACTTTGTTGTTTGTCATTGGATGCTGTCCGTAGGAATCGGAGTACTTGAAGGTGGAAAGTGGGGCCAAGACTATCGGCCCCACCGTCCCCTCCAGCCACTTGGACGGCCGCTTACCCTCCGACTCCCACTACGGCTTCCACTTGTTCGAACCCAGCGTGGCCGCCTGCATGAGCTGGCTCGACTCCAAGCCGCCCGCCTCCGTCGTCTACGTCTCCTTCGGCAGCATGGCCGCGATCTGCCAGGAGCAGATGGAGGAACTCGCCCAAGGCCTCTCCGCCACCGGCAAGCACTTTCTGTGGGTGGTGAGGTCGTCGGAGGCCCACAAGTTCCCCCCAGGCTTCGTGGAGGGGTGCCGCGACAGAGGGCTGGTGGTACCGTGGAGCCCGCAGCTGGAGGTCCTGGCGCACCCGGCCACCGGATGCTTCCTGACGCACTGCGGGTGGAACTCGACGGTGGAGGGCCTCGGCCTGGGGGTGCCGATGGTGGCGATGCCGCAGTGGACGGACCAGCCGACGAACGCCATGTACGTGGAGGAGGTGTGGGGGGTGGGCGTGAGGGTGAGGGAGGACGGGGAGGGACTGGTGAGGCGGGTGGAGGTGGAGAGGTGCGTGAGGGAGGTGATGGAAGGCGGCAGGAGCAGCGAGATGCGGAGCAATGCGGCCAGGTGGAGGGCGCTGGCCAAGGCGGCGGTGGGCCTGAACGGGAGCTCCGACAAGAATATCGTGGAACTCATCGCCAAGTACTGCTCCAAAGCAGATAAAGATTGTGTTCATCAGCAGCTGGTGGCTACATGAAGGTTCCTTGCCCTGTTCTTCTCATTGTGTTCATCACATGTATCTCTTCATCGTCAGCTCTTTATCCTATTACCAATAAAGAACACGATTTGCATTTGGATGACAGAGCGAAGACCGCTCAAAGAGAAACTAAAACATATCAAGACATGCAGGCATTTCGACAAGCATCTATAGCCAATCGCAATATGCATTGAAGAAGCACTGGAGAGCCACCAAAACAATCAAATCCCTTCAAGAACATCGACAACAAGAGTTGCTGAGTCGTGAGATGCTGATTCGTGGAAGGGGCGGAGGGGAAGGGTTTCGCGAGATGGACACGACGAAGACGATGCGGTTGGATGTGACCGCGTTTTTGGAAGATCCGAAATAAAAATGGTGTTGGATAGGATCCGGTATGACGATCCCAACGTTCATACCTACAGTGAGCTGGATCCCCTCCAATAAATTACTAGATTCATCAAATTAAAACAAATATTTTTTTGGGATTTAATATTTTCATTAGATATTGTATTATCCTTATGAATGCTGCTAATATAAAAATACGGCATTGACAATTTAATACTATGATTTATTATATAAATTATCTATGTGACGATTTCAAAAGCCCATAAATTGTATAGAAGCCTACTCGAATTTATGGGCCTTTGAAGGAATATTATTTATGTGTATGTCTTTTTGTCAAAATAGATATCATAATCTAATTTAAGCACGCTAAGAAATATTTTTTGGGAGCAGACTTAAGAATTAATTTTTTGCTTGAAATACATAATTTTTAATTAAATTTTTTATCATGATAACTATATATAAATATCATAATTTTATATTTCGACTTCACATATCTTTCTCTTCACATGCACTATAAGGCTATCGGAGCTAAGAAGAATGAGCGGAGGCTGAGAAGAATATAAGAGACAATCACTAATTACTCTATCTTATGAACCATGAAATTTTTCCTATTTATAGAGATACAAGCAGTTTAACCCTTAATGGATCTTATCCTCGAATCTCTATCCATAATTATTTAGTTGGATCTCATCCACTTATTTAATTGGATCTTATCCAAAATTATTTAATTGGATCTTATCATCCAAATAATTGTATTGAAAAATATATCCTTTTCCACATAAAATTGATAGGGAATATGTGTATATATATATAAGATTTATTGTGGAGAAATTGTCAACATAAAGTCAGCGTGTGTCACGTGTCCCACATGGAATAGATTGGAAAGGGTTGGTCAAAGGGAGGGACAAAACACGGGTCTTTGGGTTTGACCATTAACGAGATAGCTTCCACTTTTGACTTGGACGTACACATCGATGTGACGCTCCTTTGACTCGAGTTAGGTTTGGACTTCCACGCCCTATACGTACTCGAGCCATATGCTTCACGTTTTCGTGGACGGACACCACATCACTCATCCATTCATTCCATAACCCTAATTCGTACTTCTTATTTTTGTTATCTTTCTTAGTAATCAATAAAATCAGCAATCAAAATAAAAATTATTATTATCGACAATTGAGATAGAAAAAAACATCTCATTAATAGTTTATATTCTTGTGAATAAATAAGATACTTAATGATTCATTCCTCTTCTCGGAAAGCATATCATCAGCTACAATTATCAATGTCATGTCAGTATTGACCAAAGGAATGGACTAAATGATGATTTAAAGTTAGATTGTCCGTTTGTATAGCCTGCCATGACTAACAGGACAAAGCCATTGGAAGGAATCACATTACAACAGTTCAACCGTGGTAGCATTCTTTCTTCTCGGATGCATTGGAATCAAATAATGGAATACGTCTTCATCTGTCTATCTTCTTCGGGTTCATGAGAAGAAGAGCAAATGAGGGAGGCATATGATGGAGAATTAAGCATCACATTGTGGAAAAGAAGCATTTTACGAGGCTTTGTTATTGTTCCAATTTTTGTCAACCTCTCAATTTTTGTAGGACTTTCATATTCTTGACCTTACGATGGCGAATCGATCTATAAAATTTGTTTCCAGGGTATTCTAGATAAGATTTATCTGATGTTGAAAATAGAGTATATTTTTCTATATTTAAAGTTCAAAGATTCTCGATATATCTCATAAACTCCTATTTATGATGAGAAGGCTTGCGATTATTCACGTACGGAGGTTATGACATCATGAATATATTATCGTGGTTGGTATTAGAGTTGAACGGGCATATTAGGCTCCAACGTTGATGATAATAATCATATATGTTTAACCATCCATACATCATTATTGATTTGTCAACTAGTAATGTGTATTGTCTAAGTCCTAAGACACCCTTACGTCAATTGTCACGACGTCTCGCAAAAAAGAAAGCTTTACAAGTAATTCAACGAGAGAAAAAAGAGGAAAGAGAAAATAAGAAATTTAGAACGTTGAACGAAGAATCGTAAATCCGTAAAGAACTGCTCACCGAGTGTCAGACGTTAAACACTCTTCACAAGTTTACATAATAACTACTCACCGAGTGGTGGGCATTGAATACTCTTTACAAATTTGGATTAAGCTACGCATCAAAGTGCATGACACATTGAGCGTCAAAATATAATAGAATTAACTACTCATATTGCTTGGTGGAATAGAGAAACGAAGCATGCAATGAACCTTGTGATCTCACCAACCTTTAACCTAATCAATGCATGACATGAATGATTCCTTGTCAGTATCTTATGCACCTAAAAAATATTGTCCCCATTACGTCCACTAACATAAAGCATGCATATATGTGTCGGTCACATGCATTGTGGTGGAACATAGTGACCCACATAAAATATGGATGTCATCACCCAAACATGAGCATATATATACATACAGTTCAGTGTTTTCCAAGCTTTTTATGCATATTTGCTTTTTCTTTCCATCATAGTTGGCAACTTGTTAATAGTATCAATTCATCTATATCTAAATCCTTAATCCAATAGTTACAACATGATTTAATCATTTCTATTATCTTTAATGATTTCTCCTACTTCCAACATATAGAGTTTCAAGTATGGAAAATGCTGTACATCATCTAAGAGTTCAATCTTTCACTTAGATAAAGAAGAGAGTATAATAATGTGGGTAATAATAATGCTTTGCCACATCCTTAAACCTAAAAGGTTAGGTAAACTTTTAGCCATCAAAGCTAAGTGGCATTGGGGACTTTATGATTTATACATTTTTATTTGTTATATATAAAATTATCATTTTTTTTTCTAGGGAAAGAAATTGTGAAAGAAACAGTCAAGCTTTGGAATAGACAAATTAATGGCAGCATTGAAAGAGATGTGAAATCTATATGCTTAAATATTAAGCAAATATGAGAAACGTTTATGACACCACAACTGGTCAAATTTGATTCCTCAGCCTCCTTTTCTTGTTGTAAGTTTCTGCAAGTTAGAACAAGAAAACAAGATGCTCATGGCATCAACAGTTCTACTGGGTCAAAATATTGCGTTTCATGCACGCTGTCGTGGATGATGATGGACTGCAGATTGTGATGGTTGCAAGCTCTTTAACTGTGAGACAACAGCTGAAAGCTTTGGCTCCCAAATGCCTCCTCAAGTTGAATAGGTTGGGTGATGGGATTGATGACTCCAAACCATGAGTAGTAATAGATCATGTCATGATCATTGAAATTTATAGATGAGTTGTTGATGGAGATTAGAAGTTTCAAAATGATAATGCAATAAAAAGAATTAATACCTTTTCTTTATGGTAAATGTGTCCAATATAAGATAAAACTTTACAGGTGAGTCAGATATATTATCTTGATAGGCAAAAATAATAAAGAACAAGTTTCACTTATTTGTTCTAAACCATGTTCTCACTGGTACAATAGTCAAACCCTAGTCCTTCTAGTGAATTGAATACACAGTTGTTGGAGTATAGGTAAGAACACTTTTTTGTTTCATTTTGCTTTGAATATCATATAATATATATATATATATCATTTAATGATTGGATGAAAACATAATATACTTTGATAACAAAGTTGTAGGTGAGTCATATGACAACCATGAGCTCAAATTATATTTTTAGGCTGATTAAACAATCATGTATCAAAGAAGGAAAGAGGACATTTAGCACCCAATTTGCTTCTATATATAAAATATATATGTCTAATGAAAGAGCTAAACATCTTTCAGTGGCACTAATGGATTTGGTCAGCCTGCCTCTCCCTCACGTGCCAAGCACATGCCTAGAATTCACCACTTTAAGAAATGTGTTGTTATTAGAGAATAGACCCTCTAATTAACATAAAAAGGTTAAGATTAAATAATATTTATATGACAATAAATAGTAACAATGAACATGTTTGACCGGTCAAGATGAATGCTTGTAAGCATCTTTATGCTCATAAATGGTAGGGAAAATACGATAATTAGGGGATGATTAAGAAGAGGAAATTGGTCATATGAAGAAGGTAAGAATGTTGACCGGGTGCACAAGTGGGTGGGGTTCAAATAGATTTCGCAATGTGATAACACTGTGAATGCCACCCGCATATCGTACCGAGCAACCATGTGCCTTCGTCTTTCCCGCTGCGTTCTTTGGAGTGTTGCGTCCGCAGCTTTCCCACCCACACCCAATCCGTCTTCCCACTCCCTGATGTTGACGGCCACGGCCGCCATCGTCTGAACTCTTGTCTATCCACGCACAGGCTCAAATTCCACTTTACCCGAGTGGTGGCACGAACCTCGCGGCCGTCGTGCGTAATTATTAGGCACAAAGCAATCGTTTTGCTCGTTGAACGCAAGGAGCCAAGGATGGATCGGAAGGCATCTCCGTGGTCCCGGAGCTTCTGGAATAAAGCAATGAGAGGTTTTGGATGCCCCACCGCGAGTCTTCCTCGCACCTCCTGCTTTAGCTTTCTGGCTGCTTAGAGGAGGACAGCGTGCTTTTTCTGCTAGAAATCCGGAAAAAGATTGGATTTTTGGCTCCGATTGGGTTGGTTCTACGAATTGCATACATAAAGGTCTCTCCTTGCCCGAAGATGCTCAGCTTAGCTTGTTGAGTGTGTCGGGTTTTTTTTGTGGTGGTGGGTGGCTGCTCTCCTGAGATTGGAACTCGCTAGATAAGCGGTGAAGAGGTGCCGTGCCTTCTTCTGGGGCTTCTCTTCGAAGTCCTGCGTTCGGAAGAAAGGATGCGTTTTTTTATCTGGTTTGATCCAAAACAAGAGTTTTTCCCCTTTCTGTGATCGAATGAGGGGTTCCCGGAATCTGTTGCTGTAAAAGACGCCGATTTCAGGTCCTGATTCGGGAAGGTCGAGGAAAATTTTCTGATATCTTTGTATGAGCCGAGTGATCTGGTGAGTTCTTTTCTTGTTCCGACATCTGGATTTCGATTCTTTTTGGAGAAGAATTCTCAATGTCAGCGATGTTGTCGGCTGAGAAATAGAAGAACGAGGAGGGAGGGTCACTTCTTTTTTCTGGAGAGCGGAATTTATAGCTTGAGCAGGAGAAATGGAGAAACAGCAAGGCTCTCGAATGGGAGCCGCCTTGGAGAAGCTGCATAGCTTTCGGCTGGGGGTGATGGAGAAGCAGAAGAGCTTTCGGATGGATAAGCAAAGGAGCTTTCGACTGGGAGGCGGACAGCAAAGCTTCAAGGAAAGGAAGAACAAAGAGAGCCCTGGCAAGCGAGGGGATACAGAGCTCCATCTCGCCGCCAGGGCTGGCAACGCGGCGCACATACGCAAGATAGTCTCAGAGTGCAGCAGCGAGAGCGAGCTGAAGGATTTGGTCTGCAAGCAGAACCAGGATGGGGAGACAGCCTTGTACGTTGCTGCAGAAATGGGTCATGTGGCGGCTGTTCCAGAGATACTGAAAGTTTCCGACGTTCAATCGGCAGCCATCAAGGCCCATAACAGCTACGATGCATTCCATATTGCCGCTAAGCAGGGCCACCTCGGTGAGCAGCTTTCGATCACTGCTGAACATGTTTTTTGTTATTGGTGTTGTTGTTCTTGTGTAGCCTATTGATTAGAACAGGAATTTAGATGACTGCTCTGTGCATTCTTTGATAGGAAAAGTGCGTTTAGATGGTGTTGATTCTTCGCTTTATCATGAATTGTACTTCCAGAGAAGAATTTTGTGCCACCTAAACTCGTATTCTTTCAGTTAAACTAGATTTCTATGCCTTTCAGCTTCTTGAGATTAGTAGGTCATGGATTAATGCTACGTCATGAATTAATGCATAGACTTGTTTGACCAAAAGCATTATTTTTTTTCCATAATCACGAGTTTCAAGTTCGATAATTAGGAGGAAGCAGCAATGGAAATGTAGCTTAATATCAGAAGGCTCCTTTATCTTATTTGCAGTGGTCCGCTTGCAGCTGAACAATTAGGTGTGGTTTTGAAGTGGTGAAACAGTCAGTCTTAGGAGAGATCGAGGGAGACATGAAAGAGTTGATTAGAAATTATAAATAAGGATTCAATGACTTTTGATTTAACTAAGATACGGTTTTTCTATGGAGGCTAATGGTGGCAAAAAGATCTATATAGCCAATCCCAAACTTAGTAAGAAGCTAAATTCTTTACTGGGATGCGATCATTCATAAGACTCAGTTAGTCATGGCGTTCATAAGAAATATCGATGAGGAATTCCTTGAAAGAATGGAACAAAAACAGAGAAGGGTTTACTTGTTAATGCATGTCCTGTAAGCAGAACAAAAACTTTCTTTTTTCTCCATCTGATTGATTCATTCATTTGTGTTCGATCTTGTGTTAGATTGCTGGTTAGATCTTGTTCTTCGCTAATGAAATGTCTGGTTCAGTTAACAGAACTAATTTGCCTTTGCTTTTTATCTTGGGATATGCAGAAGTGCTGAAGGACCTCTTGCATTCTTTCCCTGCATTGGCTATGACTACAAACTCATTAAATTCTACAGCCTTGGATACTGCTGCAACTCAAGGTCACATCGAAATAGTCAATCTACTGCTAGAAACGGATGCAAGCCTTGCTAAAATTGCAAGGAATAATGGTAAAACTGTTCTACATTCGGCAGCAAGAATGGGCCATGTCGAAGTGGTGAAATCCCTATTAGATCAGGATCCCAGCATTGGTTTAAGGACCGATAAGAAGGGGCAAACAGCATTTCACATGGCTGTGAAGGGCCAAAATGTGGAGATGGTGCTGGAATTGCTGAAACCTGATGTATCAATCATCAATCTGGAAGATAGTAAGGGGAACAGACCATTGCATATTGCTACTAGGAAGGGCAATCCAAAGGCAAGTCAAAATTTCTTAAAAGACAACTTCTTTACTCTGTCGACTAAACTATAATCTTCTGGTTCAGCAACTTCTATAATTCAAATGCTAGATCTCACTATTTGCCAAATATGAGCTGAATTGTTTCAAATATCCTTTTTGCTCTATCGGAAGTCGCTCTTATAAGTCATGCCTCAAGTCACCTCTCCGACATGAACTTTGGTGTGTGCTGCTTTGTAAAGTTTATCGGTGACTTCCTGTTTGCCATCATTGTATTTGTCATCTGTTGTTTGCAGAATCATCCTAAGAAGCCATATAAGTTGTAGTTTTATCTTCTATTATCCTTTAGCATGAAGTAGCTCCTGCCTGAAGCACATCATGGTTTCGCATAGTCTTTCTTGATCATAGGAATGCATGCATCATCTGTATCGTTCCTGTTGATTGATGTCTTTTCCAACTTTTGGCATTGCAGATTTTGCAGGCTTTGTTATCGGTGGGAGGAATCGATATCAATGCAGTGAATAAAGCAGGAGAAACTGCCCTCAGCATTGCGGAAAAATTTGCAAATGAAGAGATCGCTTCCATTCTAAGAGAATTTGGTGCAGTTGTCGCGAAAGAACCTGCAAATTCAATGACTGCTGCCAAGCAACTGAAGAAAACAGTCAGTGACATAAAACATGATGTTCAATCCCAACTCAAACAAACCCGACAAACAGAAATGAAGGTCCAGAAGATCAAGAAGCGACTTCAGAAGCTCCACATCGGAGGTCTCAACAATGCCATCAATTCCAACACCGTGGTGGCCGTGCTCATAGCCACCGTCGCCTTTGCAGCCATATTCCAATTGCCCGGGCAGTACGTTGACCTCCCTCAGGATGGATATAGCCCCGGACAAGCCTACATCGCAAGGAACGCAGCATTCATCATCTTTTTGGTCTTCGACTCTCTGGCTTTGTTCATCTCGCTGGCGGTGGTGGTCGTCCAGACTTCCTTGATCGTGGTCGAGCAGAAAGCCAAGAGGAGGATGGTTTTTGTGATGAACAAGCTGATGTGGCTGGCTTGCCTCTTCATCTCCGTGTCCTTCATCTCCCTAACATATGTTGTTGTGGGCCGGCACGAGTGGTGGCTTGCATGGGCAACGATGGCCATCGGGACCACCATCATGCTGACCACTTTAGGATCGATGTGCTACTGTGTGATTGTTCACCGGATTGAAGCCAATAACTTGAGGAACATCAGGAGGAACTCCGGGAGCAGGTCACGGTCATGGTCTTTGTCGGTGGTCTCCGACTCCGAGTTACTGAACAGCGAGTACAAGAAGATGTATGCTCTTTAGGAGCCATATGCTGTGCAAAACTTACAGTTGCTGCACTTGAAAGGGCTACATCTCAACAGTGAAGCGGCTCATCTCTAAGCTCAAGACACGAACCATGGTTGGTGAATTGATCTTATGCATGCTCGACTTGTGTTATTTTTGGCCATGTTGCTTTAGAGATGAAGATACACCATTGTTATACTTGATTCTTATGCATGAACTACGTCTCCCCTACGCTGCCATTGTTGTGAGATGGTGATGTTACAGATCATTAGCAGAGTGAGAGATTCTCTTCACTGCACACACGGCCCCGATTTCTCTCTGGTCGTTGTTGGATCGATTGGCTTCGTAAATCTGCATCACTAGCACTAATCCCACATCAAGTCCACAGAGCATTAGCCAGCCGTGCATGCATTGTCGACATTATTGATGGGGCGCACGGAGACAGAGAGATGAGGTCGAAGACGGACTTATCCATGAATACGGAGGGGATGGAGGAAGAGAGGAGGAGATGTGGGCAGAGGAACGCATTTAAGGACGGGGCCATCGCCGCTGAGGAACGCCATCATTGCCATTGGCATGTTGCGTTTTTTACTGCGTCTTGAGCCTGCAGAGAACCAGAAAGGGGGAGATGCAATGCTCTCTTCCTTTGTGCTTTGATGGTTTCAATGCTGAATACAAACACACACACACACACACACTCTCTCTCTAGCATTTTGAGTTATGTTTGATGGTCCCTTTCATTAATGGCTCACTGAGAAGGCGATTGGCTCTGATGACTTGCATTCTGCAATCCTCTGCAACATGCCTTTTGCCTCCTCAACCTCCCATGTCACAACAACAAATCCAAACTCCTGTGCCTGCGCGTGAGAGAGAGAGAGAGAGAGAGAGAGAGTTTTGACCATAAATACCAAATGTTTGCACCAATTTCTTGTACAGAATACTGCACTAAGATGGTCAGCTACAAAAGTAGGATCCACGGGTTGCAGTATACAATCAATATCAGAGGCTTTCTACATAAATGTTTTGCAGCTTTGCCAGGCTATATATCTTAACCTTCTGTGGTTCCAACAGCAAATGTCCAGACTCACAAGCCAATGGATTTAGTAGATAAAGGCTGCAGTTTTACATGATGAAATGCAACTAAACACAACTATATCAACATGTAAAGCGGTCCATTTAATTCCTGAAGGAAAAAACATGATAAAGACTAAGATTGATGCCACCAAAGGCTGACAAAAGAGTAGTCTGGCTTCTCTTCTCTCTTTCTTTGTTGAAAGGATGACCATAGAACAACAAGAACTCAAAGCTCAATAGCAAGGCTTGTGAGTTGCTGTAAAGAGTCTACAGGAATGACAGAAACCGGAAGGACTGCTGCATATCAAGCTCCAGGGATTCAAGGACATGATCCCATCCATCGATCGACTTCAGCAAAAGAACAGTGCCAAGACAGAAACAGAAAGCCAGGAACTGGGATTACATTGATCACAAGTCTCTTCTTTGTAGCTTGTTTTCTTCTTCTGCGGTCAGCTACTCTCCAAATCTTAACCTGCAGTCCCATGAAAGAGGAGAGCATTCAGCAACGAAGGCACCACGTACCTGGATGCAATAACAAGATCTCTCTCTCTCTCTCTCTCTCTCGTATATATATATATATACACACACACACAGTATGGAAAGATCACTGCTAGAATAGGTGAAGGCTAGCGAACGAGTTTCTAGTTTTGATGATTTTGTAGCAAATATTGGTGTAGTAATCGAAGCAAGAATGGTGTATACCGAGAAGGAGTCTTACAGAGGCGCAATGGCCGGCCTCTCATCGACGCCGGCCGTGCTTGGCTTCGTGGACTGCCCATTAAGCGGCATGAGACTCGAGGCGGACGCAGTCCAAGCCGCTGCACGCCCTGCGACGTATCCACCACTTGCGCGCAGCTTCGCTACCGAAGTATCTGCGTCGCAGTTCCTCACCATCGTATGTCGATGGTGGTTTGCGTCCCGAGTAGCAACCGGGAGGAAGTGTTCGAGTCCGAACCCTATCCCCGCCGCCCCGATCGGGAGGTTGACATCCGTGAATCTATGCCCGACGGCGGCGGCGGCGGCGGACTGGTACTTGGAGAGCTCGGACATGGCGAAGGCGAGGTCCAGCTGGAGCTGGCGGAGCTGGTGCTGGAGGACGGAGATGACGCCGGCGCAGCCGTAGACGGGGTCGCGGAGACGCATGTCGGCCTCGTAGGCGAGGGAGTTGACGGCGTCCTCGCGCTGGTAGGGGTTCACCTCGTTGAGCAGCTTCGTGACGTTGCTGGCGCCGAACACGCGGTGCACCTGCACGAACTTCTGCGGCTGGTCCGGCGGGAAGTAGGGCGCGAACACGCAGTCCGGCTGACACTTGCGCCGCAGGAACTTGCAGGCCGCGCATGGCGAGCTTGCAGTCGACGGTGAAGACGACGCCGCTACTGAAACCATCTCCGATCGATCTCTTCCACCAAGCTCTAACAAAAAAGGAAATGAAACGATCGGATTTATCAGTACTTTTAGATGCAGCAGAAGACACACATAGAAGCGCAATCAGGGAAGGACAAGACTGCTAGAACGAGCTGCACGACAACACCATAAGAACTTTTGTGTTCTTTGGTTTCTTCTTCTTCTTCTTTTTCTTCTTCTCTTGTCGACAGATCTTGGATGACTCATGTAATAGTATGGAAGGAGGAGATCATGCACGCGATGTAACGAAGCTTACCTTCCTTTCTCAGATTTGTCTCACGCTGCTGATGCAGAAGGCAGGAGAAGCATGTGGGAACAAAGCAGCTGCAAGATATATACTCACAAATCGACGGTGAGGACACAGAGAGAGAGAGAGAGAGAGAGAGAGGTTTAATTACGTGGGATATGAGACAGAGAAGGATTGGAATAAGAGGCACGAGAATGTCTTGATTCAGACCTTTCTACTATCATCAACAGATGTACTTATGTCATTATATATTAATACGATAAGAAAGAACAATACAATCTCTAAGGAAGGTTGTGCATTTAATGCCATGGTGGTCACTGCTACTCTTACGTCCCCCCCACACTGCTACAACCTAATGATGACTCGCATTCAATAACCCAAATCTTTCAACCTAATATTTATACCAATTGGAAATTACACGTATTTTACTGTATATGGCCTAATTTTTTGGTTTCGATATTTACCGGCTCACTCCCGTGGCCCCCACCGGTGTGGGTTTCATGGGTATGGTATTCTAGTCGTTCATCGCGTCAACGAGGAGATCCAACGAGGGTGGGAATGGGGTGGCGGCGGAGGGCTCGGATTCGTCGTCGAATGGGGATCTTGGGAAGGCACGACGAGCAACTTTGCCTTCTTTCACCACTACAGGAAAGTGGACCGACGACGACGTCGAGGAGTTCGACGCCTTCGATCCGTTCTGAGGCCCCCAGGTTTTACTCGGTCTCTGGTCGTCCGATTCTTATTCCCTTTTCTGGTCCGGGATTGTTGGTCTTGTTCTTGTCCTAATCATTCTCTTGGAGTGCTTCCGTAATATGGGTTCGGAAACAAGTAAAGATCCGATCTTTTCTTCTTCGACGATTGCGATTGATGATTTCTCCTCTATTTTATCTGATTATATCGTGTCGCGGGGGATTTGTTCGGATGCTGATAATCAGTGCCCCCTTTGTGCCACATCTCTATAATGCTTAATTACTGCGTAGGTTTTCGTTTCTTTCGACGCTGGATTGTTCGGTTGGGAATCTATAGATTGGTTTTGTCAATGTGGCATATGCAGAAGGAATGTGTTAAGGATGTCGTAGTGCAGTAAATGGTGCGTTTTGTCTGCATGTTAGAGGAAATCACTCTCTTCCCGAGTCGTAGGTGTGTAAAACAGGACAAAATTGAAGGGAGAGTGTGGATGTAGAAAAGGGAAGATATTTAGGAGGCTTAAGGGTTCTAGAAAAAGAAAGAAGAGTAAACATAGGTGAAGAGAGGAACGGGGAAATGATGCAATGAAAAGAGGATGCTTTTGTCGGCTTATTTTGTTTTAGATAAAGTACTTGAAAAGGCAAATAATATTCTTTCGCATATGTTACTTTGAGGATTGTTACTTGGCAATATATTTGTTTACTTTTTGTCTGACATCATTTTCACTGAAAAAAAAAAAAACAAATTTATATATCATTTCATTAGTCAATAATAAAGGTGCTCAAATAGTATAGATTAATATATCTGGGATTTGAAATCAGATTAGTTTCCATATACCAAGTATAAACATCATGAAATTTCGTTTGTTTTCTCTACTTTTTGTTTGAACTTTCTTTCAAGTATTTACTTGTCAATATTATATCTTTAAATGTGTGTTCTTTTTCAGTTGTTCATTATTTTTTTATTATAGCTACAAAGAACAAACAAGACCTTAATTAGCCATTTGTATTTTTTATCAGCATTAAGATTTAGGCAAGTGGAACTGAGATAACCAAGTTAAGTGGGTTGGTTACTAGTTTTCATTTTTTCCGCATTTGAACTGACTTGCATTTGGTCTGACTCAAGGTTGACTAGATTTATAAATCTGGCCCAATTTGCCTGAATCAGTACCAGTATTGGGTCAAAGTCGGAAGAGTAGAGAACTGTTTCTGTGTTTTATCATTTTCTCACCATTATGTTCTACATCTTCTACGAAATGCTAAAAAGTTCAATGTAATATGCTACCCGGGTTTTGGATAATTTATAATTTCTAGATGCATCATGGTTTGTTTGTTGTTGCTGTTGTTATGATTGATAGGTGACATGACTTTACAGATATGTTTAATATGTCAAAAGAGTGAGTGAACTCCATTATGACTTTATCAGATGCATGGTGCAAACAGACTCTAATATCAGGATTTCGAAATATGGGTGTCTTAGAAGGCTTGGATCAACTATAATGTGTTGGTTACATTTGTGTCCTTGATGCATGCGAGATATTTTATGAATACATGAAAGTTCTTGGCAAATGGATGCAATGTGACCTGCAGTTATATCGAAAAGTTGATCTCAAGGACATCTCATATGTTTGTCATGCATGATCATCTTTTATGCATCCATAAGAGAACTTTTTAAGGTTTCCCTAAATTTGGATATAGAACATGGGGTAATATATAGAGCCATGTATAAGCATCTACCTGGAACCAGATGCACAAAACTTTGACTTTCTGTTTCTTTCCTGCATTTTCTATGCTTTGTTAGTTTATCTTATGCTTGTACTGACTAATAGGTGTGCTGGGTCTGAAGAAATTTACTTCCTAATTGTTGCTGAAGTCATCCATTTTTTCCTACCTGTCTATGTTTTCCCTTATTTTGTGACGTTTATGCTCATCTACGGGAAATCAAAGGAAATTAATGGAACTGATATTCCGTCAGGCTGCTTTGTATGGTGCATGTTGAACCTACTTAACAGAGTGAAACTTGCCTGGAAAGTAGTTATTTGGAGAAGTTGATTTCCTTTGTGACATATCTTTTATAATAAAATTGTAGCTATAATTCCTATGTCCAGTTTCAGGGAACAAACTTTGTTGGTGCATCTTTTAGTTAATCCCAGTATTTGAGCACTTCGAGTGATTCATAACTTTGATTAATATATGGACAATTGATTAGCCTATCACTCATTTGCAGGCTACTGGTTTAGATCCATGGACCTGCTCAAAGCTTTGGCAAATCATCAAAACCATGGTGAAAAACTGAGATTAACCTAAAGTGTTTACTTGGGTCACCCAGAAATGTTGTACACACTGTCAACATATACCGTCTTTGATGCACGAATGGAGGAGTACATGATGCACATGTAACACAGTTATCTCACAATAGATTGATTTCAGAATTCTCTTCTGCTGCATGATGTTCATGTCTATGAGACATGGATGCCATATTTTTGACAGCACATCATATGATTTTTTGTGTGTTCATGTAGGAGAACTGTTGGATTCCACATGCAAGTTCCTTTTGTAGGTAGCATGAAAGACACTCTTATAATGCTCCATTCTAATTCTGCTGATAGAATTTTTTGACTATATCATGTGCTGGGACAAGTGGATGAGTTCTAAGAGATGGAGAAAAGAAGCTGAAAAAGGGGCATATCGATTGTTCCAGGACTGAGAACCCACTGCCCTGCCACTGTGGGAGATTCCATCCATGGCTATGGACCATTCAACAAAAAATAGTATCACTGTGCATCAATAGAGTTCCAACTTCTTTTTGCAAATTGAGGGTGGAGGGAGCAAGTTGTCAACATCTATAGGGTGCTCCAAAAGCCTTCCAACCAAAACCAGGAAATTGCTTGAACCCCAAGGCAAAACACTTAAGAGGTCACAAGATCTAAAGAAATGGAGGAAACCGGTTCAAAGTGCATATTATAGAAGAAGTTTTTAGGGAAATATCGTAGCTGAAATTTAGAAGGAAATCTTATGATAGGGTCTCCTGCATTTGTGCTGTTATGATTGCTCAGGAGTAAAGGGAAACATTGATCTCCATGAACTTCTTCACTCTTTAGGTTATCTCCATTTAGGTTTGGAGTTTATAAGAATATTTCATATCAATCACCTAATATGGTGCCTCTCTCCTTGTGAACTTCTGATAATGCACGGAGTCTTTCTCTGACCTTCATATGGAAGATCATATGAATCTGGAGTCTGATAAGTACTTTTTTTTCTATTGAACTATGATATCACTCAGCTCAATAAAAAGGCAAGTGGCCTTCTGCATTATAAACGCACTGCCTTGGAGGTGTTCACCAAATCCTTATTCGACAATCAAGGAACAGTGGATTTATGCAAACTTTAGGTTAATTAATTTTAGTATTAAGCTATCTCTTTATTAATACAAAAAAAGATAAGAAGGATTTTAAGAAACTATGATTATACAGTTTATCCTAAGAGGAAATCTAACATCTACTTTATCTCCGTATCAGATACAGGAGAATTTGGTTGGTTTATGAGGTTGGATGAATCTTTTATATTAACTAGGGATTAAGTATTTTGGGACAGTGTTCTTTAAGCGTAACATAAATTATTGCTCCTTAAAAAATTTCCTAATTTTAGTAAATAATTAAAGTGGCTCCATGGTACATGGTTAATTTTAGTTCAACATTGTATCATTTTACAAAGATGCACCTTAAATAACTCTATGCTGTATGGTTTTAGCTTGGATGATGTAGGGAACGACTATACCTCTCTGCTCACTATGCATGTCCAAGACTTTGTGACTAAAGAACCTTGAACTCCATGAAACTTAAAATTCATGGTTTTTCTTTCCTCGCTGTCAATCTCGAAATCTGTGATCCAGTTCTTCAAACACCTGAGACCCGGTTGATTCTGTTGGATAAGGTCAGCGGGTGAGATCACCATCACCATTCTTCAGGTCAGTAATCCATTAAATTTTGCAGATTTATATGCGGAGAGCGTATAACAATTCTTCTGGTTTTGTCATGTGTTCTTAGATCCCTCATCAATGCACAGTCAGACTGCACTTGTCAAGCTGCTTGTATTGGAGGGCAGTACTCTGAAAATTTTCCTTGGTAACCTCACATGGAATCTAACACACTGTCTTCATTCTCCAGCTTGGGAGGCTCTGTCCATGTCCCAGTGGCACTACTACCCTTTCAATTAATATCCTTTTTATGATCACAACTGCCTTTTTGCCATTCTTTGGGTTTTGTGGTCTCCATGGCCCCATGCCTGATGCATTTGCTGCACTGGTAAACCTGGAAACTTGAGGTCGACTTGCAACAACAAGCTTTTCACTGCCTGCAGGTGGTGGATGGCTTCAGCTGTTACCAATATCTATTCCATTGATTGTGCTACACATGAACCCCTGTTATGCTGGATGGAGTTGGGAGTTCTGAGTTGGATGTTAAACCTGTTGGTGTTGCACTTCTTCTATCTGATCTTTCTTTCTCAGAGATGGCACCAGACCATATCTTTTCAGGTACCTGCTCCTACCCGACCTGCTTAAGCATGATCAGAATATTCGTTAAATAGGTTTGCGATGAGTTGAGATGGAAAAATAGGTATCCAAGTTGGAGCTGAGATATAAACTTCACCAACCTGTTTCCAAATTCAAATCCAACTTGGATACCTATTTTTCAATTCACACTCGTCAAAAACCTGAATGGTAGGTACTCTAATCCAGTTTAATCAGGTTGGATATGTGCAGGTGCCGTAGAAACCTAAGCCAGTGTCATCGCTAGATGATTCTAATTAAAGGTGCGATAAGAGAGGATTGTGCCATTTTGAAGTAGACACATGATGGATACTGAAGCAATGTACTTGATCCATCCATGTCATGATGTAAATGAGAGGTAGATGGTATCACCTAACATGCTACTATTGAAGCATTTCACTTGTACTTATGTAACCAAAGATGGTCGGCAAACTAAGAAAACGGAAGAACCGGAAAACCCTGCTAACTTATTATTGTATCAAATGTTGTATTGAGAATTTCTCATTCACAAGATCCTTATTGTTCCTGTACCTTGATTTTTTTTTTTATGGATTACTGTTAAGAAAGTATAATTCCTTTCCTGTATTTTTGACTTGATCTTGTGCCTTGTGCCTGCAAGAGGTTCCTATGTTTTTGACTTGTGACATCTTCATATTTATCTCATGTTCATTAGCTTGATTGAATACATGACAAAACAGAACATATGTGAAATTTGCCATGTACCAGAATGAAGGTTTGTTTCAAATAAATCATGCCCAATGTACCACATTTTGGTCAAGATGCTTAAATTTTTTTCAAATGCAGAAGCTTGATGTAGCTGATTTCTTCAACAATAGCAATGTTAGCATGAAATCTGAATTAAATGAGACAAAATTATGCAACATAAACCAAGTGCAGACTTATTTGAATTGAAGGGAGAGAAAAACAAAACAATACAAAATTATTTTTAAAGGACAGAGTTGTTGGAGAAAAAAAAAACAAAGAAGAAGAAAAATCTATAATAATATCACTTGCCTCTCAAATGTCAATTGGAAAATGGGAAGGTATATTTCTAATGTGGTAACCAAGTAAAGAATATTTCACACAGTTGGATCTTTACCATAACCAAACAACATTTCACATGGTTCGATCCTTTTGATCTCTTGTACAAAAGAGACTTGCATCACCCAAAGGTTAACTTCCACTTATAGTCTGTGGGCTTCTCCCCCACACAAACCTAAATAGAAAGAGATGGTATCATGGAACATGAAAGGAGTAATTTGGTTGATCTACACATGACTTGGGGGTAAAAAATTGCCTATAAATATATATGTCCTCAAATACTTGTATTATACTTGTTTATACTTGGAAAAAATATTTGATTGTATTATTTTTATGAGTCATTTTTCATAGATCTTATTTAAACCCATGGTGCTTACTTAATATGAGGATGATAAAATTATATCTTTTTATTTGACAGAAAAGATAAATATCATGTGAAACCTTAATCAAGGTTTATACTGATAATTTGGCATGGATTCTTGATTTTGTAACATAAGAGTTTAATTCATGTAAGCATAAGAGTTTAGAAATGTAGATTACATCAATCTCCATTAAATGCTAATGGTGGGGGAATCATATATATTAATCAACAACTAACTTAGTTAGTAAAGAATTTAAAGTAATAAGTCAAGACCAATTATGTTTTATGTATTATGACTTTGATCAACATCAAGATATATATATAATATGTATAATGACATCTAGACTGCAGAGTCAATGAATGATATCATAATCCCTAAATCCATGTTTACAAGTTTTGGGTTGGTGTAAAAAAGCTTCATTGCATGAGAGATCAAATCTTTTGGTCCCCCAAATTGTTCATAGATAGATCATCAACCAAAAATAGGAAATGCTACTATGTTTGGGATGGTTGGAACATGTGGATTTATTCCCATACCCCAACATATCAGTTCACCTACTCATCATCCAATGCAATGGGTGTGTGGTCCATCAAAATGGGTAAATGGGTGGTGTGGTCCTGTTCTTGATAGGGATGGAAGAACCACTGCACATAATTGTTGTCATGTAGTTGGGCAATGACTTGATGCTTGTTCATGGTTGATGTTATTGGATTCTTCTTCACATACTTCTTCTTTGTATCATCCATCCTTCTCCCCTCCCCACCCCCCTTTTATATGAATATTTACATGAACTTTGGAAGTATATGCATAATATTTCTAATGTTATTATGGCAGTCAATGAATTTTAGAGATGACATTTCATGCTTCACAAGATTATATATGAAATTATGTATGAGCAAAGAGATTGTATAAAAATATTTGGATAGTCTTTGGTAATTGAAGAATATTCAGATTGCATGGTTAGAATATGATGCAAGAATACTCCAATATACCTCAATGTTTCAACACAGCTCATACTGTCCTCAGGACTCAATTATAAACTCACTGTACACTATTATATTGTATTTTACAATATGTGTCATCCAGTAATGTAAACAAATAATAATAATAATAATGTAAAGATATTGTTATAGTTTTATTTAAAAAAAATCAGATGCATGTACAAAATAGTTTTAGTCACACAAATATGCTGTAATTTGTGGATCTAATACAAATATCCTTTTATATATTTAGCAAGCATTATAAGTAATTTTTTTTCCCAATTGATTGGTGGTTTTTGTGAACCCATTCTTGTAAAAAAAACATTAAGAGGATAGATAATTAATTTCATTAATATATATATATATATATTAAGATTACTGATAATAGCATATTAAAACATGCTACTATATAATGGTCTTGGAATTAGATTTGAGCACATGAAATAGGTCACGTGCAAAAGGTGTGAGGAGGCGGGGTCCATCTGACAAGCATCCACTCCGTCGCCCTCGTCCGGGCGTAACGTGTTCCCGCCATGGGTCTGCTGTTTTCGACAGTCACAGCACGGCGGAGACCCACCGCGCAGTTGATGGTAAAAGCGATCCGCGGGGATAAGTTAACGGAGAGCCCGCTTCTTACCGAAGTCACGTGCGAAAGGTCACAGGAGGCGGAGATGATGTCACAAGCATCCGCTCCATCGCCCTCTTCCGCGGCTAACGTGCTCCGTTTTTGGCTTCTACGCCCAGGGCGGGGGCGGAGACCTCCGCGCGGTCGGTGATAAAGGAGATCCGCAGGGATAAGGTAACAGAGAGCCCGCTTCTTTAAGAGGAAAGCCACAAGATCCGATGCCAACCGCATGCAGTGCCCATTTCCTTCTCCCATTGTTCTCACCAGCTCAAGCTCTCCCCTTCCTTCCCCCTTCGTTGCCTCGGAACTCGCGAGTCTTTTCCCGTCGTTGCCGGTGATCTCAGCCTGTGGTAATGCTACAATCCGATTTCTTGCCTTCTTTTTCCGATTATTTCTTGCAGGTCTGTCTTCTTGGACTTCCTTCCTCCTTTGTCTGAAGTAGATCCGCGAGATATCTGAAGTCGCCTGCGCTCTTCGGTTCTTGGATTTGCAAAACAGCTTCTTGTGCTACGAATCTCTCGTTGTTTTGAGGCAAAGAAGTGAACTTTCTGATGGTTTCTTCCCATTTCTTCTGCCCTACATCTGTTTCTTTCTGGCTTTTCCTTGGTGGAGTTGCGCATGCTTGGTTATTCGACGGAAGAAGCTGGACTCTCAGTAAGAGAAAGCGAAGCTCAGACCGCAGTTGTTGTTACAACACGGATTAGGTAGCCGTGTGTTCTTGAACCTCAGAACATCTATGCACTCTTCTCGGAAACAAATCTCTGCAGGGTTTCCCTTGTTCTTCTCGGTGTGCTGTCTTCTAACCCTAACATTGTGGGGTTTAATCTGAGCTTAAGAGAAAGATCGAGTAACCCTCGCTGATGCATCCCTGTTGGTTCTTGTTGATGCAAGGAGAGGAAGGGAAACATGGGGAGAGGAAAGATCGAGATCAAGCGGATCGAGAACAACACGAGCCGCCAGGTCACCTTCTGCAAGCGCCGGAACGGGTTGCTCAAGAAAGCCTATGAATTGTCCGTCCTCTGCGACGCCGAGATCGCGCTCATCGTCTTCTCCAGTCGTGGCCGCCTCTACGAGTACTCCAACAACAGGTCTCTTTCCGGTTAACCCACCCACCCCTTTTTCTCCACCATTACGCAAGTACGCAGCTTTCTCGTCTTCCTTCTACCTCGTTCATGGATGGCAGTACATGCACACAACTTCATTCACAACATCATTTGACAGGGATCATTCAAGGGGACAAACTAAGCATACACCTTCTTTTTCCCCCTTCCTTTTTCACGATGATATAGAATTTCTAGTATGAACTCTCAACTCTTTCATTATTCTCCTGATAGAAAAGTCATCCTTGTTGACCTAAATGCCCGTTCCATTTTCAACCTGCCAGTTGACGTTGTCCTTCCTCCATCCTCATTCTGCATGCAGCAGCATATCCGTCTTCAACAAAATCCAGTGGTGACCTGCTGATGAGCCATGGTATGATCTTTTGCCCAACAAAAAAGGGCATTTCTTAGGGTGTGGCGGATTTAGGGTTTTCTTCTTCCCTTTCCTGCCTCTTTGCCTCCTCTTTCTTGTGTTAGTTTCTGCCAGGGGGAACTTATCTTTACATCACCTGTTCATATATATATACATAGAGAGAGAGAGAGAGAGAGAGAGAGAGAGAGAGAGAGAGAGAGAGACGAACGAACGTAACCTAACCTTAACTACTACTA